ACTTCTTGCTCATTATGTCAGGGGTCAGCATTCCCAAAACTTGGGAAAGGGGTTAGGAGTCACAAAAACAGAAGCTTATCTTGTCAGTTTCAAGCCAGCTATCCCAGCACCAGTGCAGTGAGCATTTCAAAGGACTGGAGAGTTGGACTGCCTCACTTAGTGATATGGTTGCTGGTCCCAAATGTGGTTGCAAAATGAGAACCTATAGATACCATGTTTCCCCCAAAATACAACAGGGTCTTATTTTCTTTTGACCTCCGAAATAAGCACTTGGTCTTATTTTCAGGGAGGTCTTATTATTTTTGAGGTTCAAAAGGCGGTTGAGTATAGTCATCTCATGGCTACTGCTGTGTTGCAATATTTTTGGGGAGGGCTTATTTTCAGGGGAGAGCTTATTTTAGTGCATGCGCTCAAAAGCCTGATTGGGCTTATTATCCGGGGAGGTCTTATTTTTGGGAAAACAGGGTACCTATAAGTAGTACTTATAGAAAGGCTGGAAGAAAAAAAACTTCATTCTAATATAGACAAACCACTTTTCTTGAGGACTTCAGGGAGAAGATGAAGGAAATATGGATATCATTCTGAGGCATAATTTACCATTTTCTCATGATTTCCCCCCCTCAGAGTATTAGTGCTAAATGCTAATTTGCAAGAAACAGTTATAGAAGTAGGGTTGATATTTCTATTCATAAAAGATGTTGTGATACTTCATGCAAAATGTTAACTGTTTAGAATGAAGTCTCATATCTACTTGTTATTGGGCTTAATTTTAGTAAGTCTTCTAATTACCAAATTATTATTCTTAGATGACAATGTTAGAATGTTCATATAAAGTCAGTGTTATGATGGGTAGCAATTAAAAAAGGTCAACTGTGAATGGGAAACAGCTGATGCTCCAGAAAAAAAAAAGTGAATTTTTCATTCTGTGTGTTTATTTTTACTATTCTCATAGACAGCATTAATAATGAGAGTGGTTTGTGTGCCCCCAAAAGTATGCAGGGATCACACGTCTTGGGTGTGTCATTCTGGCTTTGAATGATGGATGTGGTTATCATAACCTAAACCCACCCCCGCTTATTGCTTAGCTTTTTGTGTTAGTTCAGCCTATTTGATTTCTCAACAAATCCTAATTAAATAACCACAATTTAGTGCTCTGAGTGAATTATTTCTGAACAACTATTCTAAGTTAGTAAAAAATGGTAGAATTAATTTTGGAGAAAATTGCCCAGATGAATATACACATTGTTGGCCAATAAATGGTGTGGTTCTCCAAATAAAGCAGATCATTGCATGTGTACAGACAGATAACCAAGTTGCTCAGTTTTTCAGAATGAAAGATACTAGGATTTTCTAGTGCTCATTGGTGCATATTATTACAATTTTATTGCCTAGGATGGTGATAACGTGTTTGAGTAGAGAAATGCAGAATTAGGAAAGATAGTAGCATCATACCTTTTCATGTTCATCATAGGTGCTGCTGCAATATCAGGCAGTGAGACAGAAGACGATGACAGCATGGACGTCCCCTTGGATCTCTCTTCTTCTGCCTGCTCAATCAAGAGGAGGAGACGGGGTAACCTGCCCAAAGAATCGGTGCAGATTCTTCGGGACTGGCTGTATGAGCACCGTTATAATGCTTATCCTTCTGAACAAGAGAAAGCACTATTGTCAAGACAGACGCACCTTTCCACACTACAGGTATGTGTGTTCTAATGAAGCTAAGGCAATAGAGACCAGTTTGATTACCTGTTGAATACTATGTATTTTGCTCTTAAGTTAATAGACATTGGGTGATGTACCACAGTATTAATATTTAGCGTTTTCCAGAGGAAGGGNCCCAGAGCAGCCTATGTCTCTTCACTGACAAGCTCCAAGCACTTCTTCAGTTTATTGAGGAGTTTAAGGCAATAAAGTTGAGAGGACACATATGGGGCATAGCTGATGAGTGTGTGTGTGGGAGAGAGAGAGAGAGAGAGAGAGAGAGAGAGAAGTGAACCTGACTGAACATGGATAAGGGTTGACGTTCAAGCTTATCTGAGACAGTAAGAGGCCTTATTTCTCTGCTTTTATTGCATTCATAGAACATCATCTAGTGAGACAGATTGACGTTGTGAGTTCTGAAGGAATTGAGTTCTCTGGTATATCAGCCCTGCTACTTGTAGCTTTGATTCCGACATGAAAGCTTTCAGGGAGCTAACAGGAAGCTGGGTTCAAGCAGTGCAAATGCTTCTTTCCTTGAATGAATATTTCTGCATGTCTTGAAAAATAACAAGGTGACCTCTTCTCAAAAAGCCATTATTCAACTGCTCAAGTCTAAATAATCTTTGATTTTTTTAACCTTTGATTTTTGGAGACACTGCAGTAGGTCTACAATAGCAAATAGGCTCAGACAATTCTTCTGGATTGGGTTTCAGGCCAATCATGAATGTCAGTCCTTCAAGATAAACCAGGTTCAAAACAGAGACATCACAAGGATTCCAGGAATGCCTCTTCATTGATGTAGAGTTGCTTATAGAATTGGAAAGCTGTTCAAAACCTTCACTACCCCACTTTTAAGAATAACAAGGTCAAGGTGGGATTGTTCTGAATCCCTTTCTCACACTTTTTCCTTTCCTTCCCAGAGCTGAGCAACTGTTTTATCTCACTTCCTTCTCAAGCTCAGAGGTAGATTGTTTTACGTTGCGTGTTCATGCAATATAAAGCAATCCATGCAGAGATCAGGATACAAGAAATATGATCTTCCTAGTCCTGTTTATCTATTAGTGGCATTCGTTGTATTATTCTGAACTAGGTATGAGTGTTGGGATTAGGAATGACTTTTAAAAATATTTGTTTAAGTGGGTGAATCAGAGAGGCAAGAGGGAGTTTGAACCATAAGAAATTCCACTGAGGGTTGCCACAAGATTTGATGCTTTCCCCTTCCCATTCCTCATTGAGTGAAATCATAAGCCAGCATGGAGTCGGGCATTATCATCAGGCTGATGACATACAACTTTGCAGCTAAACTGATCAAACAGGAGATGCAGCCAGTGTTCCAGTCACTGAAGGCTGATTGTATCTGGATTGGGAAAACAGGTTTATGTCCAATTTGCAGGGAGAATTGATTCATAATCTTGGGATCTTCCTGAGTCCTCAACTCCTGCTCAAACATTTCTTAACTGCAGCTAGGAGGCAATTTACACAGATGCACCTTGTGTGTCAATTAATGACTTTTAGAGAAATGGAAGTCCCTCCTCATTGTCTCTCGTGCCTTGGTCATCTCTTATGCAGAAACTACCCAGAAGTTTCAGATTGTCTAGGCAAAGCACTTCTTTGAGAGCCACACTGGTGGCTAGTTGCTCCCAAGTGCAATTCAGAGTGCTGGTTTTCACCTTAAAAGCCCTTCAAGGATCAGAACCTCAGAATCTTCAAAATTGCTCACTGTTTTTTCCGAACTGTAAGATCTAAAAGAGAAGATTCCCTCTGGGTCCCTTCTCCAAGAGTATGTGATCTGCATAAACCATAGAGAAAGACTTTCTCAGTTCCTGGCTGCTCCTCTCCCCACAAATGTGGAATAGCTTTGCAATGAAGATCAGCTTGATCTCTGCCTGGCTGAATTCTGAAAAACTATAAAGAGGGTTTTCTGTCATGTCTGTGATATTTGATTTGGTGTCTTTGATCTATTCTCTGGTGGGAATGTTGCATGGAATTGATTGTTAGCAAGGCCTAGGATATTTTAACGTTGGTGTATTGTGCTTTTAATCTGGTTATTGCATATATGTGCCAGCCAGTCACTTATGATTGGAATTACATATGAGCTCAATCAATAAATAAGCAAGTGAATTAATAATTTAGATTACATAAACATTGGTTCATTCATACATGAAGGCAGATTTCTTAAATTCACAATCAAAATTCGAATGACTTTTGAATAAATGATGTATGGAGAATGAAAATGTGAAAACTAATGAAAAAAAATACAAGGCTGTATCACATGTTAAGAAAAACTTCTGTGTTTTGCTAATTATGATAACTTTTAACATACACAGATAGTACCCTGTTTCCCTGAAAATAAGACCTCCCCGGATAATAAGCCCAATTGGGCTTTTGAGCGTATGTGCTAAAATAAGCCCTNCTAAAAAGTGTCTTGGTATTTGATTGACAAAGGTGGTATTTCAGCCTGGGTTTTTCTGTAGACCCACAAAGTTCATAGCTTAAGTGGGATAGATGCCTGCTTACCCAGGACTAACCTTTTGCTCAGTGCCTAAAATAAGTATGAATGTTCAGTTTCCATCTGTGCTTTTTATTAGGACAATTAAAGCTTCCAGCCTAATGAGAAATTCTGATTTACATGAGGCAAGCTCACATAGTAACAGTGACAGAAAAAATGTGAATTTCAGTTTTTCTCAATCATCTAAATGCAGTAGCCTTGAAACTCAGTGGTTTTTCTTACTGAAATACTTCTTTCTGCATATTTAAAAGTCAATTCCTGTCTAATTGTCAGCACTCAGATTTGCCTAAGAATACAAATGATTGGTTTCTGTTCCAAATTCGGAAAAAGTGTACAATTCTGAATATGTAGTGATGCTTGCTCCTTTCTACCAAGGAGGTGAATGTGTAATAAGTTTTACTTGCTTTGTTGAATATATATGTAGTTGCATTTTCTAACATTTGAAATAAAGTTTGTAGCAGTATTTGAAATAACCTGCGTGTATTAATTTAAACACATGAAGCTTTTCCAAAAGCTTATAAAAATGGCTTTTATTATTAATATTAAAACCATATAGGGAAGGGGGAGAAAACACAAAAGGAGAAATTTCAACTATTCCTTTTGTTTGTGGGATTTTTAACATAATTTTCTTCCAATCCATTGACTGTCTTACTAATTTTTTTAAAATAATACATTGTGTGTGCAGAATTTGTAGCAGGTGATGAGTATATTTATGTTTTTGGAGTGTTCAGTTTATTTCATAGACTTTATTGTAAATATGGTTTTGCCATGTTGGCTCAGAGTAATTGTCTCTTTATAGGTATCCCACACATTTTCTTTGTAAGAAGTAACAGTTCTTGTACAGTAAACAAAAAAGGACTGTTGGACTTTCTTTTATTGCCCAGGAAACTGGCTTGATACTCAAACAAGGGCAAACTTGGTGAGGTAATCCTTCTTTTGCCTGTTGACATAGTCAGTTGAACAAGGCAAATCAGTAACTCCTTTAGGGAGGAGTTACTGTTTCAGAGGAAAATGTTTTCCTGTTGTTAATTAACCTAGCTGTAATGATTTCGATTACTCTTTGTTTGTTACATATATGCAGACTCAGAACCAAATTTAGGGCTTTACCCATTACAATCTTTGGGTTTTCTGCTGAGAGGAGGGGCTGTTGAACCAGGAACGTCTCTCTCTTGGGTGTGTCAGAACTTGTTTGCCAGCCTTTTTTTTTTTTTTTTTGTCAGGTCCAGGAATCTAGCTTGAAGGTATTGAGACATTTAGCTGAACTGCTTTCATGCAATACATAATTGGAATTGAATGATGGTAAGAATGAACATGTCATTGTATTCTCAGGTCTGCAACTGGTTCATCAATGCACGGCGCAGGCTTTTGCCTGACATGTTGAGGAAGGATGGGAAGGACCCAAATCAATTTACTATCTCACGAAGAGGGACCAAGGTAATTGATGGCCATCCGGTGGAATTTTCCAGCTCAAAAAACTGCATTCCCCTGATTGAGAGCTCCTTCCTCTCTGGTAGCCCAAGACCAAACAAGACTTGCAATGCTCCTTCTCCAGGATCTCTTTTGGCTCGTCCCTCAGTAATTTGTCATACTACCGTAACCGCACTGAAAGATGTCCCTTTCCATTTCAATCAGCCTGCCGGTACAGGTCAGACCACAGATGACCTTCAGTGGGCTTCGCCTACCAACTTTACAGACAACTCTCTCCTATTCCACGAGGATAAGTTGGGACCTAGTTCAAATGCACAAAGTGGGCTTTTCAACACTCCTCCTCCAACTCCCCCAGATCTCAATCAGGACTTCAGTGGATTTCAACTCCTGGTGGATGTTGCACTGAAACAGGCAGCAGAGATGGAACTGCAGGCAAAACTCATGGCATAAATTGTTCTTCATATTTTCTCTTCCCCCAACAGGAATGTAACAGAAATATGTGGCAATTGTTTCAATGATATCAAGGATTTAACTGCATTATTTGTTCTAATTAATCTTATTTGCACAAGGGATTGCTGAAATGAAGCTTCCTATCCCTGTTATGGTCTTCAGTGGATTCCAGTCATTCCAAGAATTATAAACTTAAAGCTACTGTAGAAGCAACCCCCCGCCTTTTAAAAGTTTCTTAGTAGGGTTTCCCCCCCCCCCCATAATGTGAGATGGTACCCAAGATCATGTGATTTTGTTTTGTTTTCATTATTTGTCTCTTTCAGACTGTGCAATATTTAGTAACAAGATTAGTATTCCTATCATTCCCATGTGGAACAAAATGTACCAACAGGCTATCTTTAAAAAATTCAGATTTTAAAACAAGTTTGGATTTGAATGATTATACTTTTTCATGATATAATAAAATATTTTCTTTAATAGTTGATTTACCCTGAGTATTTTGTTGAACTAGTGTTTCAAAAGATGGCAAATTTGCATTGTAACATGGAGACAATCAGTTCTTCTAACACTATATATATTTTTAAAAAGAAACACTTAAAGAGTTTGATTTAAATTTGTACTGCTACTGATTATAAGTTACTGGCAATGAAACGTGCTGTTAGAGAGCTATATGAACTTAATATATTTTCTTTAGTACATTTTATGGCATGGGTGTCAAACTCGCTGTGTCACATTGCCGTCACATGATGTTTTGCGTAATTTTTCCTCTGTGGAACTGGGGTGCGCCTGGCCTCTGCATGACACATCCAGCTGGAGAGCTGCCAGTTTGACACCCCTGCTTTATGGTGTATTCTTGATTGTAGACAGTTCTGCTTAAACAAGAAAACATTTAAATGCAAGTTCCTTGTTTATTTTCAAAAATAAGTGATTGCATTGTCTTATTGATTAATCACTGGTTATTTTAGTATGGTTTGTTAAGATTCTTTTTTCCAAAGTGTCTTATAGCAAATCCATATTTATCTGAAAACTGAATTTAAAATGACCCTGCCCATGGGATTATTAAATACACACAAAAAAAAACTTTTATTCTCTAGATATATTAGCCATTCTCTAGTGGAACATGAATTTTTTGACCTTCATGATGATGGTAGATGAGATTTTCACCCCTAAATATACACAATTGGTCACATGTGTTTTTTTTTTTTTTAATGTAGCAATGTGATCTGAAAATGGACAACTTTCCTTTGCTGAAGTCAGGGCACTTTCTGGTTTTCATGCATCTCACCATCATGTTTAATCTCTGCAGAAACGTTGAAATAATCCACTCAAGGTCTATTTGGGCTTTTAGGGATTGCTTGAGGAATTCCCCAACCAGCTTTGTTGTATGTCTCACTAATCTCTGGAACATGAAAATGGTGAGGAAGCCAAATGAGTTTTTTTGAAATTTCTCTCCTTTCTTGCAGGACCTAGTAAGTTCCTGGGTTCTGCAGAGGAACTGCAGAAGATTAAACAAATGTAGACCCCTAAAGTGTAAACCTAACCAATCACAATTTTATCTCTGTTTTTAGGAGTATATCATAGCAATATGGACAGCAATTTCTCTGCCCTTAATGTATCTGCAACTTGCATCTATTTAAGGATACCTATTTTCTTTTGGGGGAAAATAATGAAGATGCTGTTGGTATCATGAAGCCACATTTACCATTTTTTTAATAGATAAAATATTTCACATTTTCTCCAAACTTAGTTCCATTTCAACAGGACTGTCAAGAAGTCCAAGGCAATGTCTTGCAAGAAGATCTGTTGGAATATTGGATTGAACAAGTTTAATTAATGTGTATTGGGCCCTTTGTGACATGGGTTTAGCCACTTGTAACATTAATCTATGTTTGTGGTTGGAATCAGGAAGTGATCTTTGCTTTTTTAAGGGAATGGAAAATTGTAGTTATCTTGAGGAAAGTAATGGTATACCTTCTTCTAAAGCCGTTTTCAACCCAACCACTTATAACAACTATTAATTAATTTCCCATCTTTTTTAAGGAAATTTTTGAAAAAGGCAGCTGAAATCTAAAAAAAATTCTAAAGAGAGAGATTTTCTCGACTTCTTCCAGGTGGAATTCAGGCCTGGGCCTGGGATAGAAATTACATTAGTTGCCATTATGAATGACCTTTGTTTGATCAGGGTGCAATGTGTCCCTCCTGATATTTTAGACTTCTTGGTGGCTTTTGGTACCATCAACTATGGCATCATTCTGGCATCAAGATATGGGCCAAAACAACCTTAAATCACATCTCTTCAAGACTGGGTACTCTGTGTTGATGTTTCGTTGATCTGAACCCAATTCCAATTTTGATTCTTAATAGGGTCACACTCCTCTATTGAAGCAAATCCATGTTTTGAAGGTCCTTCTGGATTCAAGACACTTGCTGGAACATAAGATATTCGCTGTGGCCAGGAAGGTCTTTGCATTAATTTCAGGCCTTTTTGAACTGGGACTCCCTGGCAAAAGTTAATAATGCTTTTGGCACACTCCATTTTAAGACAGTTTATGCAGGTCTTGGGGCTGCTTTTAAGATGGCTTGGAAATTTCAACTGATCTAATAACCAGAAGCCCATGAGATAAACAAGGGTAGCAATTTCAGTGGTGTTACTCTGGTGTTTTTGGTTATGTTTTCTTTGGGTTAAAAGCAAAGTTCTGAATGTAAGGCTGTGACAGCACATGATAAAAGTACTCAGCTTACAGGAGATAAAGAAAAAGAGCACTCAACAGCAACATTTTTCAGAATGTGGTCACGGCACTCCTAGTAAAACGGTGCTCCTTTACTTGCAGAGGTGAGGAATGCATCCTATTAAGGAAGCTTTGAAAATTTTCCTGTTATACAAAGCATATAGGCACCGATGTTCTTGGGGCTGCCTTATATTACCTAGATTCATTACTTTTTTATTGGCCGTTGTTACTTGTAAGCTTCTGTAAATCATTGTATAAGTAGGCAGTCTACAAACGATTCAGCTATGTAAATGTTAACATTTGAATGAAGACATCATTATGTATGCTGCATCTCTTGCTTCTTTTCCTCTTCCCCTATTAATGAATATAATGGCAATCTTTTGTACATGTTCTCATATATAGACACTAACATCATTTATATTCCTGATTTAGGAGCTTAAATATAGGATTCTAATATCTTTGTAGCAATCAGATGTTAAAGCATGTAGATAACTTCACATAGCCAGCTAATAAACATATAAACACATGGCTAGATGTTCAGCGATACCTGAGTATCACCAAACTTAATTTACAATATTTACAAATGCTGTTTCTTTCCCAGAAAATAAAACGTTTGTGATCTAATTGAAAATAACAAGTTATCATCCACAACTATATTGATTTAAATTCTGAATAATTTATACAGAATTATATAATTTAATTTCTTTAAAGAGTATTTCCCACTCAAATGGAATTAAAAGCAATATTACAATGTAGGCTAGTGTCATCTCACTGGGTTCATGCACTTTAATTTAAAGCACCTCTTTAATGGGCAGCAGTTTAGATAGCTGGAAGGAAGAAGGACAATACTAACTTTCTCCTAATGTTCTCCCACTAGAAATGTTTTCCACCAAAATATTTCTCTACAGGTATTTCAAATGCATTTTTTTTCCTGACAGAAATGCCTTTATTCTAAACATACAATTGTAGTGAAAAGCACAAGTTTCCAAGTTTCACCAAAATTCTTCATAATATAAGTATAAGTATAATCTTTATTGTCATTGTACTTAAATACAATGAAATTGGTTAAGAATTAAGAATATCTAGAATATTGATTTCAATACGCTGTGAAATCAACTGTTTTGCTTATCTTGCACCTGAATTTAAGATGATATGCCAGGCAGCCTACATCAAAATCTAATATAACTAGCTGAAATTGTTTTAAATCTGAGGTGGATTTGCTGTCAATATGATTAAAGGTTTTGTGAATTTTTTCAGATTTATTGGCTGCTGTAACGTTTACTTTCCTAATGTCCTTGCATATTTTAAATTGTTTCAACCTTTATCTATCTTGATTTCAACAATTTCCCTAAAAATATCTGTCTTCTATCTGAAACCTTAAT